ATAGTAGCATGGAGCAAACATGGAACGAAATCGTTTGTTGATAATCTGAGATAGATATGGCGTTGAGGATGACTTTATAATCGCAGTAAGATACATTTGATTTAAAGTTCGAATAATTACGTACCGAATGGCATCGTGTCTATAATTTACTATATACTTATTCTTGAACGTTTCGTAACATGTTCGATTCTTCTTCGGGGAGAGATAATGTAAACAAAGAATGTTACATTGTAAATCAACACAGTCAGGTAGCAACTGACTATGTATGTTATAGCCTTGATAGTACAACATGCTTCCATGTTTCGTTCAATGCAATCTTGCACTTCAAAGTACTATAGCAGCTCTTTTATTTATGCGTTGGTCTGACTGAAATACCATAGTTGTTCGCTATTTTTTTGGCCTGAAACTTTCTTTCTCAATGTATTTCCGTTCTAGTTGGTCCCATAATACGTAGTGGCACTCTTTCCTCGCATATTCCACAATCCTTGGGTTCTTTCCGCATTCCTTCATCGTGGCCCATGAATCATTCGTTTGCTTCACCATTTTCCTATCATTTCTTATTCATATTGAGGAATTCGGAATGGCGTCATCTTGTCAAGCTACTGAGATGTTCCTTCTCCATCTCTTCTGTGGTGTTGCTGATTTCTCTGTGATGCAATTGAGGCCACACTCACAAAAAAGGGTTGAATTTGGCTGTGCAGCCTGGAATTTAGCTCGATGGTTCTGACATACACCAGCTCGTTCTGTAATGATTTTTAGATCTGATTAACAGCCTCATTTTGGCCATCTTCAGGCATTTCTCTACAGCTGTTCTTTGAGGTTTTGTTCCTCTGGAAGAATAATTTCGTTTGCTCACTTTTGGTTCTTGCCTTGCTGGTCGACGATTGTCTCTTCCATTAGTCTTACAGGGTAACCGCTGTGTCTGAAAGCTTTTCGGATGCCAGCCAGTTCCTTTCGGATAGCAGTGTTGTATGAGTTCGTGTCGAAGCATCTGCTCATTAGCCTGCTAGCGATGCCATTCTTTACGCATTGCGTTTGGTTTTATCCAGACGTCAGGGACTTGTTGTTTTTTGTTGGCTTGTAACATATCCGAGTAACGTAGTCACTTCCTCGTGATTAGGATACATTGGAGTTAGAATAAGTAGGCACATAAAATTGAGAATATAGTCGCCGTTGAAATGCTTCAAAGAAAAGTTTGTGGGTTAAAGTGGTTCAGTGACATGGACGTTCTTATGACGGATAATTTGGACAAGAAGAATACGATGCAAGATTCTCAAACACGTTTGGCCTGTGGTTCTGTCCTGTGGCTAACGACCCCGTTATGAAAATCGAAAAATACTGTAGTGCAATCAGGCGTGATGTCTGGTAATTGAGGAGCTAAGCGCGTTTCGACACACTCATGCGCTGGAATCATGTTTCAGAAGCAAGGAGGTAAAAATTTGCCACTTCTCTCCTTCTGTCTCCATCTCAATATCAGCAGAAGAATATGTTCATCACTCATCTAAATTATCATGCTTTTTTCTGAGTGCACGCGACATCGTGCATTGTCCTGCGTCCCGAGCCATATCCTCTGGTTTCGACAGCTTCCTGTAGAGCTAATGGTGTTACGCCGTTTCCAGTGCTGATGCTGTTCATCTAGCTTTGTCATAGGTTAGACGTCAGTCTCGATCCTAAAGTCAATTCATGTAGCACTGATATATCCATGCAGTCATCATTGTAAGCAGTCTCTCCCCCTGTCGTATTAAAAACCGTGGTTTTCGTTGCTCAGTGCTACTCAGAACAGGGCGCAGACAGTCTGACAGTCAAGGTGGTGTAATAAGCATCGGTCAGTCATTCATAGATATAGTAACACCACATCTGGAAAGTTTGAGTGAATTTTTTTTCTGCCGCCTTCATCAGCCGATCAGATTCAGATGAGAGGCATATACTAGATGGTTATACGATTATTCAAAGATCAATAGCTTTGAAAGGTCAGAAATCTATGGCTGCTTTTTTAGGCTGTCAGCGATTACGGCTGCCATCGGTTGAACATCAGTAAATAACACCCAAAAAATAGCGTCTGTATCACACCTGACCGAAACGTTCACCTGCAGAATGCAAACCGAATAGATATTCTACCTCATGTGGTAGACAATACATTGTTTCGAATACTATGGTCCACCAGTTAGGCAGTCCAGTAAAAACAAAACCAATTTAGTCGAATCAGCCGGTCATCACTTAATACAGTACTGACATTTCAAGTTGTTGTACCGAGGAGTTAACTCATTGATTCTTCATAAGGGAGGGAAGGACCTCATAGAAATTTTATTAAACAAAATTTCGCTATTTCAGATCTAAACTGGATCCATATTCAATGGAAAACAACGTCAGCAATATATTTCATGCTTCAGTACGATAAACGATGATTCGTACCGTACTCTAAGCTGATCGTTGCTTTACTCTGAGTCGATTGTTGTTTTCCCAGACTGATGGCAAGTCCTCGCCGTTGTCTTTCTTCAGACATTCGTGTGCTTGCATTACGAACGCTTTTACACTTCCGCTTCCGGTAGTGTCCTTCATTCCCCTTTCCTTTCAATTTTTCCACCCTTTTTTACCGCATGTTCAGTCAGTACAGACTGTCAAATCTACTTTCATTTGTGATAGGTTTTTTAATGCTTTACGCTATGCCGTTTTTGATCTTGTCCACATTTCCTTAGATAGTCATCGCTCCAGCTAGTGAGGTACGAGTTTTGATCTTTCCCTCGTTTCGATCCTCTTGCCAATTTCCCTCGTATGTGCGCAGCTTTTAATATGTTCAGGTATCAGAATCTTAGAGCGAACCGGTCTACTGAAAATACTTTCAATTTGAAGCAGTGTTTCTTGTTTAGAATGAGCACATTGCTTAAGCAGTTTCGAATTAACTCCAGCTCTGTGGAAATTGTACCAGACATGGAGGAGCCACCACACGAAGCGACGATGAGTCAATTCAACGAAATCGTTGAAAAGTTCAAGGTACCTGACTGCAATGCGTTGCCTCAAATGGACAAGGATATGCTGGTGTACACCGACGATCAGGAGATGAGCCGGTACAAGGAAAAAGTACGCTTGAATTATAAGTACGATGAGAGCGTATGACGATCCCTCATGTTTCATTTCAGACCAACAATATGCTCAGGACGTCAGAAGTCCTGCGACATCATTCGAGCAACGCCGACTTGATCATACTCACGTTCCCTGTTCCAAGAAGAGGTCGAGTTTCAGCCGGTCTTTATTTAAGTTGGCTTGAAATGTTGACCGCCCAAATACCTCCAGTTTTGCTTATCAGAGGCAACCAGGAACCGGTTTTGACGTTATACACCTGATTAATTTCAATAATGTATTATGTAGCAGTGAGAGAGCACGTTTTTGTGCAATTCGATAGCTTTCGCTGGGTCTCAAGGACATGTTCTAATATAAATTTGTGTACATAAATTGAAACAGACATCGCAGGCTCAGGCGAAGGCAAAAATATCATCGCAACCAGTTCTTTCCCTGAAGAATTACGGAAATTCTCCCTGCATTGCTGAGAAGGGAATTACCCATTTAAGGATTCAGACGGAAAGTTCAAGGCGTTATTTAATAGATCAGGTGGCACACACCGTTCAAAGGCGACGACATAGAGTCCATGTCTGAGAATTCAAGGTTCTTGGCCAAAAATGTTCTATTATTCCAATTTCATACCTGTCATGCAGTGTCGTCTGGAACGTCCTTCCCATCACGTCTTAGGCCCAGCCTATGAGCCATCATTTTTTTTTAGAGAGCAAACAGCATGATGAAACGTTTCACCATGGCTTCTTTCAGGCTTAACATGAGTGGTTCCATCCCATACATTCATTACTAGTGGAATACCGGCCCTTATAATGATGCGTCAATTTTAGGTACCTATACTATGTGAGAAATAACAGAGAAGAGCAGGCGTATGGCGATTTTAAAGAACTATATGTAAAACGTGATTACGATGTGCCATTAGCATCTTCATTCATCATCATCTTCCATAACCGTTTCTCCTTTCGGGTCGCGGAGGCAGACTCTTCAGACAGTGCTTTCAACCATTTCTATTTCCTCAAACTCCTTCCAATACATATTGCCTTAAAATGACAATCTTAATGCATAGATATGTTGAAAAGTATGAGGCAGCCCCTTTCCTCACTCACATACCAACCCATTTCACACATACATGATTCTGATGCAAAAGGACCAGTATCGTATATATCCATTTTTGCATCTAATTAATTTATGGAAGACTGGGTTAGCGACTTTGACCGGCTGTTTTCCCGTCCCAAATTAGAAGGATTCATGGATCAAATTCCCATATGCTACAGTGACTGGTTCATTGCGTTTCGGTCGTCAGGATGTATTATTCGTGCGTAGGAGCCAAGCCGGCTGTCATAACCATATTCAGTGAAAAACCTATCCATTTAAATAAACATTTGTGGGCTTCATCGCAATCACCACCGTCATCTTCTCAATCACTGGATCTGTTGGCTATCCAAATAGTAAATCTTTTAACTGAGTAGAGCAGAAAGAGTGCTTAGTTGCTTTGTAACCATTATTAAGGGGCAACGGAATCTTGCGATTACCGTTTCTTCATGAGGGTGCCACAGAGAAAACAATTTTCTGAAGGTGCATGCTGGTTTGCAAGTGTTTCATAAGCACCTCATTTAGATTGACGTTTGAAAGCACCAGAACCGACAACATCGCATAGTTTGTCTCTGTTACTATGGAAGACAGTTTGAACACAAAACTCTATACATCTGCTTACGGTTTTCCTTCGCGACGAGCATGCGATGAAGTGGCTGACATGCTACAAAAGGGAACATACCTGCATCCATATGAAATTACGAATAACAACAATATCATGACAAGTTATGAATGGGTAACAAGAACAGACATGACGACGACGATCTTAGTGAATATAGAGGAACGTCAGCACAAGCGTATGCGAAATACGTAAACTCAGAATTGGCCGAAAAATCAACTCCAGTGGAAAAAGAACGAATGAGCATGAATTCATGCAAAAAATGAAAACAACAACTTAATTGAAAGAGTCACAAAATTAGGTTTCAGGAAATAAAATTATCACTAACCTGACCACCCACCAAAGTTCAACAAGTTAGAGAAGTTCATTAGCAATTTCGAGGGTAGTATGGATAAAAGATATTCCAGAAAATGCAGAACAACACCAATATGATATATCCAACCAAGGCAATCCACCATACCACGCGTTCCCAGCTTTTCTTGCTAAAATTCCGCAAAATTACTATGCCCATCAGTAGACCGGCCACGAAGCCGCCTATGTGAGCTACGTATGATGTTCTGTTTCCGTTAGCATCTTCTGGATTTCCGTATCGGCTGTAGACGGAGAGACCAAAATCGATTCCTACGAAAATCACTAGTGCCACCAGCCTCAATATGGCAAACTCCATCTCGTCCCAGTTCTAAAATGACACGATATTGCTACAGAGAAATGGACTATATTTTAAAACAAGTATTACAATTAAAATAAAGGGTCATTCGACGCGGCTTGCCTGTATGACTAGAAAAACCGCAGAATATGGTTAACTTTAAAAGCAGTAGCAAACTTCAAAAGAAGCTCTGTAACCATCGAAATGTTCTTCTTCCTTACACTTTGACTACTGAGTGATGTGTGGCTCCGTCCTCGATAAAGCTTATTGTGCGGCTGCATGATAACTTCAGCTAGACAACCGGTGTAATGTGTAGTATCCTGTTTCCGTTCCGCGGAAAGACACTTATTTTCTACCTCAAAAAGACGAAAGGCGAGTGACACCGCGGGGGCTCAATCCTATGACCTCTAGATTTTGATTACGGCCTTTACCTACGAAACAACACTGACAATTGAATTAGAGGGGACCACTTAAGATGAAGCCAAATTTTGCGCGTAGAGAAGCTTAATATGATATCTGAGCTGATGAAGTTATGTTACATGTTTGCTCCTGGGTAAAGGTGCATTCGGCTAAAGGAAAAGCTGACAAATCCGCTTAAAAATTTAAGCAGCAACGCGGTGGCTTAAAGTCAGGCTACAGGCCTTACGGGTATTTCTTGCGGATCACGGCGTCAGCTTTGCTGGTCACGAATAAGGATGGTGAATTACACTGATCAGATGTAATGTAGTCCAGAATTCGATTAAATGACACCTGCAGTAACTCGAATTGAAAGTAACGCCTTGTTTTAGGTGCGAATACATTGGAATCATCATCAACCTAATTGATGACAGAGTAATAACAGATTTAGAAACCATGATCATAATTTAAGGTCGTAGAAGCGTCATCGTTATTGTTTTGTTAACATTACATCAAAATAGCACAGCCTGAACTTGAACTATAGAAGAGGATGATTTAAATAAAGCAGAGAGTTTCACTGATGAACCGTCAGAAGCACAGAGCAATAATGTTGCAATATGCATATAAAATATGAAAATATCTGCTGTTCTGAACGTCATGAAACTTATTTCAACAGCTTCCAAGAAAGCCTTATCAGAACTGCCTACAGAACGCGATTGTAAAACCAAGCCACAAGCCAGTAGGTTGTGATGACTAGTGGTTAGAAAAAAACATTGGACAACCTCAGAGATCAGTGTCTGGCTTCATTTGACCGAATGACCCTAGAAGAAAATGAAATTGTGTTTAAGACCATTCCTCGCGTTGGAACCCACCGTCTATTTGCTCCAGACGCATTGAAAAATTAAAAATACCTAATCTAGGCTGACGTACTCACGACGAGGAATATGACTTTGCCTGGTGCAACTCAGAAGTACTGTTTCAAACCGACACAGGCCAGAACTTGAACTACTTTACCGTTCGAGTAGTTGTTATTCTCAGAAAATAATAACATGAAACAATACAATTTATTAGTACAGATATGACCTT